TGGTAATTTATGGAATAAGATGAGAAAAGAATTAAAATTAAAGAAATACCAAAAATTTCTTTTATTTTAACTAAGCTAAAAAAAAATTTTCTTTTAAATTTAAATAATTTTCATGTGAAAGTCATAAAATACAGAATGAATCAGTTGGTTTTAATAAAAAAGCTTAGTTTCCATTAATTTTTAAACTATCTTTGTTTATTCTTAACTTACGTAAAAATAAAAACTTTACAAAATTTAAATTTTATAAAATGGCGGACTACTGACGTTTAACCACTTTTACTACCACATTATAATACATCAGTCTTTAAAAATGTTTTTTTCAGTTATTTTAAGTTAATTTATTTGTACTTGGTAATTTTACTTGTTATTTTTAAAATTTATATTACCTATTAATTCTTAAATTAAACGGAATAAGTTAAAAATTGGTTATTTTGTTATATAAAAGTTCAATTATAGGTTATAATTGATGTATTTACAATATCGTGCTTAAAGAAAAGTTTCATTTGAATGGTTTAATCATTAAACTTTTTTATTATATGTATAAATATTATTATACATATTATTATTTCTGTCTATATTTTATATAGTGTTGTTAAATTTTAAATCCTAGAAGTAAAACTTTAAAAAATGGTTAGGAGAAATAACCAACTTCCTCACAATTTACCTCAATTGAGAAATTTAATTAAGAGGGACCCCTCTTCATACAAGGAAGATGTAAGTCAATTTATTTAAAATTTTACTCTTTATTTATTTTATTTTCTGTAATTCTAATTTTTTTTTTTTTTTTTCAGTTTCAACTTCAATATGCTCACTTTAATTCCATGTTGGAATTGTTTCATCTTCAGCCAGACAGATTTATTAAAGACCTTGATGATTTAGTCATGTTTGTAGCACAAGTGTCTCATTGTTATTTTCAAGATTTAACAGATTTCCCTCAGAAAATAATTAATATACTAGAAAGTCATCATATGGTCCTTCATCCAGACATGCGATTTGTATGTAATTACTATCAAAAATTTTAAAATCATTAATAAGAAATAAAAAAAAATAAACGGTGCATTGTATTTCAGGCATTTTGCAGAAGCCTTATTGTCTTAAGAAATAAAAATTTGTTAGAGCCTACAGATTTGTTATCATTATTTTTCCAATTATTAAGATGTCAGGATAAAGCTCTCAGAGAATTTTTAGAAACTCATATTATTACCGATATAAAAAATATTAATGCCAAACATAAAAACGTAAAACTTAATACTGTAAGTTTTCTTCAAAATTTTAAAAATTATTAATGATTTCGATAAAAGAAAATTACATTGTTTAATAACTTACTATAATGAGAAATTAATATTTTTAGAGGTTACAAAATTTCATGTTTAACATGTTAAAAGATAATAATTCAAAAGCGGCAAAAATGTCATTAGGTGTTATGATTGAATTATATAAAAAAAATGTGTGGAATGATGCAAAAACGGTTAATGTAATTGCAATCGCATGCTTCTCTAAAATTGTAAAGGTAACTATTTTTAATTTGATTTATTTATTATACATTTTATTCAATTGAATACTCTTTCATTCTTAAATTTGACTAAAAAGTAAGTTTTATTATTAATTAATTTTCTTTTTTTTTTTTTAGGTTATGGTTGCGGCTTTAAAATTTTTTTTGGGATCCGATGAAAAAAAAGAAAATGATGATTCAGATGATAGTGATAGTGATGATGAAATAAATCCGAAAGATGTTATGATGGCGAATAGAGTTAATAAAAAGACTAGAAAAAGATTGAAAAACTTGGAAAAAGTTAAAAAGCTTATTAAGAAGAATAAAAAAAAGAAAGAAAAAGCTCCCGTTTTTAATTTTTCAGCACTGCATTTAATTCACGATCCGCAAGGTTTTGCCGAAAAATTATTTAAAAGATTAGAATCTATGAATCAAAGGTTTGAAATAAAAATATTAATGTTGGATGTAATTTCACGTTTAATTGGATTACATCAACTTATGCTATTTAATTTTTATCCTTATATTCAACGATATCTTCAACCTCATCAGAGAGGTATTATTTTTTTTTTTTTTATGTTAATTTATAAATTTTTTTGTTTACTAAATTGTTTATTAACTTTTTTTATTTTTAATGATGTTATTTGTAGAGGTTACAAAAATGCTGTTGTTTGTGCTCAAGCAAGTCACGAACT